ATACACCACTAGTTTATTTTTATTTTTCATTTTTAATATCTTTGCCAGGGTAAAGATTCAGTTGGTCTTTTCTCAACTTGACTGTTTTTTTTAGATATCGGTGGTGTACCTTGTTACCCGCAGACCTTTAAGCTCCGCTCTATCTTACATGTTCTAAGTGAACTAAGAAAAATTTAAGATTTGATCTCCAGCTTTATATAATCTGATGTCATTAGATATGTATTTTTGACTTGAAGATTCAAGTTGTGTTTTCAATTTAAAAATGCGTTTAATTGAAATTAAAGCCCATTGAGATCGTGTGAATGGTGATACTAAATCTTCCACTGAAATTACTTTGAATGAAGATTTAGTTCAATTCCAAACATATTTTCCTCCAAAACACACCTAATTCCTAGTCATAGTATGCTTAATAAATTCAAAATAATTTGCAAATGTACTTATGAAATTTTTTGGAAGCAGAATATAATTCAAAATATATTATAAACACAACACTCTGTCATTTTGGGAATTCTGGTAATGTGGTTATGAGCTCCTAGGTATTTGTACCATGCAATGCTTTTGCTAGTTGTGCAACGTGAGAGCTTTGATGCATTCACCTGTTCACAGATGCCGCACGCCTCTTAACTGCGTAACGAACCACATAAAGAACCTCCTCACCGTTGTTTATACACTGCTTGCATTTGCTAAGGTCCTAGATAAAAGAAAGTATTACGAGTGGAAATTATTTGGTGTCAATAAAAAATAGAAGTGACATGCTACGGGTCTCTTCTGTTGAATGATCATATGGGTTGGTAGCCACTAACTATCAAATATTCTGCCTTTGCTTCTAATACCTAATCTCCAAAAGGTATGATTGTCAGTATATAACTTTAGTTAGATTTCACGAGTATATTATTATGCGTGACAACAAAAAGATGTACTTATAATAACGTATGCAAGAAGTCGAATTTTGACATTTTAACCTTCTGGAGCTTAAGTTTTAAAATTAGATATAGGGTAAAATGTTCGATAGCTTAGCCAAGAACATAAGTTTTTGACAGTTTGTGACTACCAACTCATAAGATTAGATCTGTGAAAACCAACATAAAAGACTTGTACCATGACATTCTTACTTTATTCGGAAAATTGACCCTTTATTTTCACTAATATGATTAAAAATAATATAACTATAATTAGGAGCATTGCATGGATCAGAGTAGTTGATTCTGGGGAAACACTATAAGGACAATTGGAAGAGTTTGTAAATGGTTTTGAGACAAATGAAGTAAACTTATTAATGATGAAGTATTTTCTGGAATATAACAGGAAAATATTTTACTGAAAATGATAACAAAACAAAATGCTTTCTTTCTGAAGACTCTCATTGGAGCAAAAATAGGAGATCAAAAACCAAAACATGAATAAAAAGGCATGCGTTTGACAACTTGCAGGACAACATATAGCATAAGGAATTAATAGCTAATTATAAAAGTTAAAATAATAAATAATAAATAGTTATAGGAGAAAGAAAATATTGATGGTGGTTAAACAAACGTAGTGGTCTCTGGATAGTGTGTATGAAGCCAAATTGATAAGCCAAACAATTTGGTGTCAATATGACGGAAACCCTAATTTAAGATACAATTATAACAGGAAACAATATCTTTATTGTTATTATTATTTTGTTTATAGAAAGTAAAAAATCTCGTAGGCAAGTTATAGTAATGAGCCAAAAATCGAAAATGAAATTTTTTGAATATTTTCACGTTTCAGAGGTTTCTGTACATTTGGGCATACCTAAGAAAAAATGGATGAATGTGTATGTGTGTATGTGTGAAGACAATTTTTTGTCGACGATTTCAGGCGTATGGATTGACCGATTTCAGAATTTAAAAAACAATCAATTCCTATTGATAGGGAGATGTGCTGATTAATTTTTGGCAAAAGCAGGTCCAGCCGTTGCGGAGATTTGGAGCTAAGAGGGTAGAAAATCAAAACCCAGTTGTTGAATGATCCAAAAAACATACTGCTTGTGTTGGCAAAACAATTGCTTTTGAAAGAAATAAAATTAATTTCAATTTGTTTTTTACAATTTTTTTTTTGTATTTCGAAAATATTCAGATTTTAATTCTAATTCTGGCTAAAGTTCTGAAGCTCACTTATATATTGTACCTACTTTAAGTAAATATAATTTTAACTTTGTTATTCAGTTTAGATAATTCTTATAAATATTAGACAATAATGTTACAGTATTTATAATCTAATTTCGTTACGGTTCGGAAAGTTCCAGCAATTTGCCTCAAAGCACTATGACATACACCATATATTTTTTTGGTTATTGTTCAAATTAACCATCGCAGTTTTATACAGCAGAATAAGGTAGAATACAACAGTTTATTTATAATTTTAATCCAAAAAATGTGTGATTTGATTGAAAATTTAATTTAATTATTTGAACTTCCAAAACAAAGTAAAGTATTCTTACTAATTGTTTTCATGAATATTGTATTTATAAAACTTTCTTGACCAAAGTATGTAATGATTAATTTATGGTCGGAATAATTTTTTATCAAACGCATAAGATGTTTTTATACTACTAAACTTTCCATATATGTTGTTCTGATTTATTAATAATATAGATATATAAAATACTTCGCTTGATTTTACTACTTTACCACTCTTGGTTTGCTTCATAAGATGTTACAATAAATAAATTTTAAAAACAACTTGTTGGAAAGGGAAACCTGCGAATATAATTTGAAAATTCAACTGAAAACAATATATGAATCCTGGCTTGTCTAACACAACTTCAATTATTTCTACAATGTAGTTATATGTTGCACTCTTCGGCTTGACAAGACAAGATAATAAAATAGTTACCTCAATAAAATGGTAAAGGTTTCAAATTGTATACCCTCGTAAAACGGCTCGAATAGCGAATTTGGTTTTATTATGCAGTAAACCATATATAAAATCATGTATCTCTAGAAATTGGCGTCCAAATAGTGCAAGTTACAAAATATCTTGGTTATAAATTTATCAATCTGACCGACGATGAAAGTTGTAAGTGTTTCAATAGAATTTACTACCTTACCAATATATATAAATTATTGGTGTAAGTTTATATGATTATTGTATTATATGAGTATTATAAATAATCATCCAAATATAGTAATCAATGTTTTTGTTGACAATTTTAATTTATCTCTATAAAATAAGTACCAGAACGTACTTATTACGTATTTATCGTCAATAATAAGTATCAACCTAATATAAGCCATTCTAACGGCAAAATATAAATGTAATAAAAAAACTTGAAATTAATATGGGCTCAAAAGTGTTCTCTGATTTTCAGTATTTATACTGTCGGAACTAAATGAAGTGCATGACAACACATAACATGTAACTAACAAACAACTATGTTCAGTAAAACTCCCGGTTAACTCCTAATTATAGAAATATCATTTTTTACCATATTTCTAAAATCTGTCAACTGTTGCTTTTCACTCTATGGGCAGAGTAAGAATTTAAAACCAAAGTGCAAACAGATCCAATGTCTTTCTATAATTTTGAAGGTATTTTACGAAATAGTTATAATACAAAAGTATAATACGTTTGATATGAATATTGATACATTTTCGTTAACATTCTGATTCAACGTTGCAAAATTTAAGGTGATGGCTGGTTACAAATATTTTGCCTTCTACGTTAAAATAGTATCATTGAAAAAATTCTATACCTTGCTTGTTTTTGAGATAATAATGGTGGATTTTTTCACCCGCGGACCTTTAATTCCAGCTTTATCTTAAATCACGTATACTTAAAAATTATGTTCTGATATCTAAATAACAGTGCTCAATACAAAAAAAACGATAAACGACAAAAAATGTTAATTATCAAAAATTTGATAATGTGGCCATTTATCTTGTGTTGTCGACGTCGCCTGAGTTATAAGGCGATGGCTTGTTACACAAATTTTGACTTCGAATTTGAAATAAACATCCTCTTCAAGAACCCTGATCTAGGAGGCTCAAAAGAAAAGTTCCAATTGATTTGAAGATAGATCAATTTCGATAAAGACCAGACTCAGCCCTTGATATATCCCTCAGCCAGATTAGTTGACCACTCAATGGAGTGCCACCTATTGTAATTTTTAAAAATTCAGCTAATTTATTTATGTGTGTGTATGACTGTGTGTGAGTATGTTTACTGTGTGAGTGAGTTCAAACATAAGCACAATAGCTCATAGAATTTTGTAAATTGAGGTTGCTGTTAAATAAAGTATAAAAAAAGAATTTGAAATGGTATCCTTAAAATGCCTCACACAACTAATATAAATCGATTGTTTTTAAGATAATGGTGGTAGACTTTATAACCTGCAGACAAATAAGCTTCATTTTACCTTACTTTGAAATCTTGAATCTGAGTTTTACAATATTTCAAATTATAGTTTTAATTCAACATGTTAATTAAAATCGACTCATAAAAGATCGCTTTTTTTAATTTTTACGCTTGAATAGTAGTTTTATTGAACTTGACAAAGACATATTATACAGCGAAGTACTTCTGTACAAAACTATCATGGTGCCGATTTGGACCTATGGAATCGAACTATGGGGTTGCTCTTGTACATCAAACATAAACATCATTCAAAGGTGCCAGAACAAAATTCTGCGTATCTTAACTAATGCGCCTTGGTATATTCTGAACTTTTTTCTACATAAGAATTTGAAAATCTCTTAGAGTCAATAAAATGATCAAAATTAGAAGTTCGTATTTCAACAATAAATTAATCCAGCATACCAATACTACTATTCAAGCGATTTACAGACCGTTAAGAAGACTAAGCAAGAAATGGCTTTCCAAGATATTAAAGTCTTGATTACCAAAAATAAATTATAACAAAAAAAAGTGTGCTCAAGTTTCAGAAATAGTTCTAAAGCAGCATTGCCTATCTCTATCTCATTAAATTAAATTAGTGAATTTAATCCAATTTTAAGCAATATTTCTTTTTATTCCAGGTCGTCCAGAACCGACAGTATCATGGTTTATCGACGGTCGTCTCCATGACGAAGCTCGAGCGTCACCATCAATGCACCACGTAACCATAAATCGGCTTCAAGTTCCGCTCCTGAGACGTCAAGACCTCAATTCTACGTTTCGATGTCAGGCGGCAAACACGAAACTGATACTTCCGACCGAGCGGTCTGTGAGACTCGAGATGAATCGTAAGTTTCATATGGCATTCATTTCATTTGGTGGCTTTAAATGTGTAAAATTAAATATTCATTATTATTTAATTTTATTTAACCTTAAGCCACGAGCCATTTACCTTATTTTCATTTTATAAATTATTCTTTTTAGTGTTCATACTATGATTCAGGCTGAACACAATGCATTTCACACCAATGTTACATACTTTTTAACTTCTCGAATGAGAAGTTTCTGTTTTCATAAAAAAATCGGACTCGCTAATTTTGTTTTTTGACGTTTTAAGCCATTCTGAATCGAATGAGACCAAATTTGGTAAAAGTATGTGTGTGTGTGCGTGTGTGTGTGAACAGATATTTTGCCGTAAATCGACGTTTTCTCCCTAACGGCTGGATCGATTTCAAAAATTCAAAAGCCATTCGATGTATCTTGATGAGGACTAGCGTTTCTGAGTTTTATGCGACTTTCGGCATAGCCGTTTCTGAAAAAAGCGCAGAAAAGTGAAAAATTTTCGTCTATGTTTTAGCACGCAATTATGAATCGATTTTGAAAATTTAAAAACCGTTCGAAAGATATTGGTTAGGAATCGTGCTGATTAGTGTTTGGTAAAGATCGGCCGGGCCGTTTTCTTGTAATAAAGTGTTTAAAAAAAAATTCGACGTTTTTTATCATTGTTTTTTTGACGGTAGATACCATAGTCTTCTAGATCATACTAAAATATTACAGCCCTACGACAACTCGTTTAGCTTTAAAAATTCATCAATGTTTGCAAAAATTAGTATCGTTCTTTTGGCATTTGTCAAAATTAGACCTTTGATAGACGTTTTCTCAGAAACGCCTGAACCGATTTCAGAAATTTAAAAGACATTTGATGTATCTCAATGAGGACTATCGTTTATCAGTTTTGTGAGACGATCTGTCGAGCCGCTTCTTTGTAATTTGAAAAAAAGTGTTGAACTTTTCGTCCACATTTAAGCTAATACTACCGAATCGATTTTTAAAAAATCGAAAACTGTTCGAAAGATATTAATTGGGAATGATATTGATTAGTTTTAGGTAAAAAATCTACCGAGCCGTTTTTTTTGTAATTAACTGTTGAAAAAAAAAATTAAGCCGATTTTAATGGAACTTTTTTTGGCGATAAATATTATGATCTTATAGAACTTACTGAAATATTACGACAAATTGAATTTTAAAAATTCAAAGTTTGAGAAAATGAGTAGTTTCTTTGACTTTTGTTAAAATTAAAATTAGATGATGTAGTTGGCGATAGATTTTATAGTCTGAAATTATATACTAAATTATTATATGACTATGATAAACGGTTGAATTACAAAAATTCAACAAAGTTAAAAGTTTCACCGCTAGGTAAAGCGATTTTAATCAGGATTGAAGCATCTGTGCGGTACGTGGTGTTTCGAAGGCAGCTACTGATTACAGTTTACGTCCATAATTGAATAAAATACATTCTAGAATAGAAAATTGATAAAATAGTGTTAAATATGTTAGTTTAATATTTACAATAACAGATAAAATAACACTTCAATTGGAAATCGTTTCGATATTTTTTTGTGGAAGCGCAAATATTTCTGAAATAAAAAGTTGAACATTTTATCCAAATATTAGATTAAGTTGATGTTCACCTGTCGGGAAGTGCATGCAACTTGGCTTAAGGCAAAATACTAGTTACAACTAGTTCTAAAATGAGTCATGTGTACACTTTTACCTCATAGGCAGGGTAAAATTTACTTTCCTATACATATAAAAAAAAATATAAGCGTGGTAAGAAAATAAAATGTCTCATTAACAATTTTAAAGCTGTTTTACTTAGCAATAACTACATTATTTAATTAGTGCGATGTATTTTAATAATCAAGACTCACTGTGTCTTGAAAAACAATTATTGCCATTATCGTAAATTCAACATGTTTTTGGAATACATATTTTAAGACCACATGTTTTACAAAGATCACACTGCATATGACCTTTGTCTAAAACTTTGTAAAAAGAATTCTTCGCCAAGGTTGGAATTACTATTAATTTAGTTCAGAGTAATTATTATCTAACTCATTTGTTTACATTTTTTAAAATGACGCACCAAAATTTTAATTATTAATTTTAAGCACTAATAAATAAAATAACCTAAAATACCGAGATACTAACATTTTGAAACCGGCGTACGAAACAGACAACGCTTCCATTCGGGACACGGTCATGTAGGGTTTTAAAATTATTACTGAACATTACATGGTTTATTGTTTTTAAATTTGTTACATCAGCAGTAAAGTTTTTTATGTTTAATAAACGAGGAGTATAAATTTTGTTAATTGTATTTTTCGTGTTCAGTTGAAATTTATGGGAGTTAGGTTTGGAATATAAAAGCCCGTTCGTATTGCATTAAGTGCTTTAACTCTTAAAGTGCATCCAATTTCATTAAATTGCTATTTGAATGTTAAAACTGGAATATAATTATATATATATATATATATATATATATTATTTCAAATATAAATTCTTAAATTTTAACATTCGTGTTATATACAATTAAAAATAATGGATGCAATTAGTATCTGAATTAGTCATTTATATTAGGGATAGTATGGAGATAGCGGTAATTATCATAAGTAGATCTTTGGGTATTAAGGAAATTAATTTAATCATCTCAAACAATATTTCTGAAAATTTATCTTATTGTAATTTGATTATAGAACTTATAATTATATGTAGGGTAAGTTATAGTATTTGCAAAAAATTCAAAAATGATTCAGATCTTCTGGTCATTTTGGCATACCCCAGAAGATGTTTTGTCTTGCGTATGTGTGCAGTACGTATGTATTGTATTTGTATCCGCACAAATTTTAGTTGATGATTTCTGGAACACAGATCAATCGATTCCTATGATTAAAAAAGTTTTTGCAAAGGCAGGTACAGCCGTTTCGGAAATACGGACAAAAAATGGCACTTCTGTTTTTGACAAAACAAAGCGCCTGATTTCATAACAAAACATTTTACTTGTATTGACGGAATGAAGAATTGGCGGTTTCAAAGACCCATTAAAAAAAATTTTAAAGAAATGTCATTATGGCGGTTAAAAATGATCATTAGACATATGCACATCAAATTATCAGATATTTTATACTAATTTTAATAATAAGTACGAATTGTTTACATTTATATGGATTCCGTACCAAAAATTATAATATTAAACCTGCAGCCTGATTGCTTTGAAAAAAAAAAAAACAGAATTTTAAAGAAATTTTAGAATTAAAAAAAATACTGCTACAGAAAATTCCAGAAATTTTCTTGAAGGCACGGCCCCATGCACATATTGCACAACTAGTTTTTAATTTAATGATAATGATTAATGATGTTAATATTAACTTTTGAATGTTTTTTTTAGTTCAAGAGAAATATAAATGGCTCTAGATAAAAATAATAAGACTGTTGGTTTCAAAACACGCCCTTATTTCAGGAATTGCTTTTGGTTTGATATATTTTGATTTGTTATATATAATAAGACATAAAAATTTAATCTGAAGTTTCATTATCTGATTATCATTATTTTGTACATACATAGTACTAAATATTTCTTATATTAGTCAAATATATTTATTGGTAGTATTAAATATTTTAAACTCTTTATATTGAATTAAATGAAGAAGTCTTACATTGTTAGTGGTTATTATAATCATATATTTTATACTAATGTCCCGTCACTCTAACCACTAACCTGCGGGCAAATAAAAAATTCAATATAAAATTGAAACAATAAACTGATCACATTAAATTTTCCTGATGATCTAATCGAAGCCAGATTTCAAGTTTATGTGAAACTTGAAATCTGGCTTCGATTAGATCATCCGTTTTTTAAAACAAAAGTTTAAATAGTAGTTACACAAAGATTACAGATTATCAATTTACTTTATATCATTGCTATTTTCTGCAATATGATAGTTTTTTTTAGCTTCCACCTTTGTCGCTGAATGCTCACACCTAAAATATATCATTTATAAAAGATTAACAGGACTGTAATACCCGGATTTGGAGTAACCGCAGTAAACCATACCGTTTCGTTCATATTAAGCCTTCATTAATCCTTTTGGAATTAATGAAATGTGTGTATATATCATTTGTTACTTTGAATATTTCATGAATGAAGGCAAATGTGCTCGGGTACTTTCTTCACGAAACATTTGCTGGAAAATGTGCTTTTCATTGAGCTATAAAGTATTTTTACATGCATATAAGAAATATAAGTAAGTAAAATAATAATGTTATTAATTGATTTACATATAAGTTTGAAACGACAATTTGCTATTTTGTATAGAGTTTTTAACATCCCGTAGGGTAAGTTATAGTAATCGCAAAAAATCGAAAATTTTGGCATACCTTAGAAAAAATGAATATACCTTAGAAAAAATGAATATACTGAAATGAATATATGAAATGGGTGTGTGTACGCGTGTGTGTAGGTGCGTTTATAATTTTTCGTCGACGATTTTAAGAAAACAAATCAGCCAATTGAATGATTCAAAAAACATTCGATTCCTATTGATAAGGACACGAGTTGATCAGTTTTTGGCAAAGGTAGGTTCAAGGGTTTTGAGATAACGGAGCGTCCGATTTGAATTGATCAAAAAACATTTTATTTATATACGCAAAATGAAGAACTGATAAAATTTTTAGAAAAACAGGCCCAGCTTTAATTTTTGGTACGGAAAGTTTCAGCAATTTGCCCTAAGGCACGATGCCATGCACCACTAGTTAATTAATTATTTTAATTAGACTTTTGCAAACGTGGTAATTGTGTGGTCGACTATGTTCTTCAGCAATGTTAGCTCAAAACTGTGGAAATAATGTGTCATTAATATTTGTAAATTTATTTATTATCAAGATTTTCAATATTAATTTTTTTTGCTGAGATTTATAAAATATTTATAAATAATTATTTAAATATATTTATAGGTAAAGTAAATATTAATAAATAAAAATGATGGTGCTGCTCATACACAGAAAA